TTTTTTTTTTTCTCGCTTGTTTATGGAACTAAACTAATCCTTGACCAGAGAACAACTTGTAAGACATTTAGAAAATTATGATAAGAAGGATAACATACAAATTTTTGTATAGGTTGAAAAAATTCTGTACAAGTTGCCAAAGCAGAGTTAATGTTTTAGCGATCATAAACTTTCCACCCTGTCACAGCTCAGGCACATCTTTCTCAATTGAATGTGGCAGAAATCTGTTTGTCACATGAGCTTGGGTCAACCAAGGAATGGGCCAAAACATCCATGTATAGGGCTGGAAATTCAAATACATGGTTTTGATTGAGTGTCAGGGACTGGAGCAGAATTTCCAAGGCCTCATAAATTCTCCTCCTCCTGACGCTCAATTGAGACCATGGATTTGAACTTCCAGCCCTATACGGGGATGTTTTGGCATGTGACTTGGTTCAGCCATGCTCACAGGACAAAAAACTTTGGTATCTTGTTTCTTATTAGCTATTAACCTGTTTACAATGTATGACAATACCAGAGAGTGATTTACATTAAAAAAAACACAGTTGGTGATCGAATGATAAAAAAATTATTGAACTCAGTTATCCTAAGATATCATGATTTGTCAGTGTTGTGCAGATCAATTATTAATGTCTCATCCTTCAGCTTTGGCAAATAATTGATCTGCTCGGCACTGACAAAATCACAATGTTTTTTTCACCCTCATCCAGTAATTGTTAACTCATTCATTCAGATTAGTCCACATATAAGAATTAATTAAACCATTCTAAATTAAGAACTAAAGCGAACCTTGGCAAGCAGATAACTTTATCTGTTCTATGACATTTTCCAAATCATTGAAATCAGCAGTGTACACATTTCTTGTATTTCCCGCCATCTTCGTCAACTCAGCCTTATCGTAATTCTTTCCAACACCTATAGCAAATATGGTAGCTTCTTTTAATGTACGTAATTCATTTGCCGGTTGCTCAACTGAATCATCTGCCTTTCCATCTGTTATGACAATACAAACATTGGGTTTATCTTCTCTGTCTTGCGCTGGCGTATACAACTGAGTCCTTGCTTTTTCAAGTGCTTTTCCTGTGGATGTTCCGCCAGAGGGGTATTGCATGTCGTCAATGGCTTTGTCGATGTTTTTTTTGTTGAAGTAAGTCCCCAAACCAAACACCGGTTTAACATACGACGAAGACGAGTATATAATTGCACCTACATGGGTATTGTCAAAACCTACATTGAATCCATCAATCACCCTTTTTATAAAGGTCTTCATCAGGTCGAAGTTTCCTGCTCCAGCTTGCCTGATACTTCCACTGCCGTCAATCAAAAATGTCAGATCAAAGTCTTTGTCACACACTGTTGAGGTAAAGTAACAACCTGAGTTTGATGGATAATTAATTCTTTATTTATAAATACTGTTGTACCTGGCTAATTCAAACTCTGTTTTTTCGAACCCCCGTTATTTCAAACTCAAACCATTTCTCTTGGATTTGCCCTTCAGTCAGTTTACTATCGGCTATTTCAAACTCCCGCCATTTCGAGCTATTTTTTATTTCCCCTGAGAGTTCGAAATAGTGTGGTTCAACTGTAATTCTTTTCCCTCTTTCACTTGAAACTACTTGAGGTATACTCAGCTCGTTGTCAACTTGAAAATGACGTACGCCTGTTCTGCAGGCTAGATAGTTAACTACCACAGTAACAAGTTTGTCAAGCTGAAGTCTGTAGTATTATAACACTTGCCCTGATGAAGAATATGAGAAGTTTTATTACCGTTTCTAAGAAAGCATAACTAAACATGAAGATATATAAAGTATACTGCATGCAACAAAGAAGATACACTAGCCGAGGAACTTATTTGCATAATTTAACATATAAATCGGCTGGCAATAAATCTAGCTTGTGAGAGGAAAATAATGTAACAATATAATATTAATAGTAATAATAATACTGTATTGATAAAAATTTAGATAGCGCGACTTTCCATGAGATCGTATAAAGTCAGCATTTCGAATTCAACATTTTGCAGTATTTGTTTCATACGAACTGTATTTCGCGGCAGATTTGTCGTTCTTATTCAAAAAGGTGGCGAACTGGGCGATCTTTGTATGGTTTGAGTTACACTGTCACACAATGAAACTATAAGACAAAACCCCTCTATTTCAGCATTCCTGTGTCGTGCAGTTGCCTATCGTATCGGTTATCGTCTTCAGATTATAAAACAACGGTCATCATAGTTCGCTTTTTGCACCCAATGACCAGAACTTAACACAAAAAGAGCTTTTTTTTTTTCAGTTGTTTGAAGCATACGGGAGTTTCCCTCCTTGTTCTTCGTAGTTCTACAATATGAACGAAAACTGGCGTGCTAAACATTCGTGAGATAACACGTTACGTGAGTTCCAAACCCCGGGAAACCACAAGATCGGCCTGTTGCGGTTCTAATCTTCGTTTTCCAAATTTTACCATCAAGCATGAAATTTTTTTCGCCTTCAGTCATTTATGATCAAAATATCTTATTCTTAACTTTTCTGGTGATGTAAATGTTAATATGTTCAATGTCTTAAAGTGATTACTGACATTTTCCGTTGAGCACCGGAATGGCTTTCCTTGTGATAACAATATCTGTTGTCTTTGAATTTATGATCACGCAGGCATGTGTCTGAAGACCTACTGCTACCTTTTCTCAGAGAATGTCTTATTTAAAGAACTTTTCAGCAACACTAAGTACCTCTTACAGCCCATACACGTCTTTGGTATACAAAAGGGGCATTTAAGTCAATAATCATAATTTGCGTTTGAATATAGTTAAGTTTAATTCTCGGGTTTATTTAATTTTCTATACTTTGCCAACTTCATGTAGAATTTATACGTAACAGCTGGCCGGCGAAATATCAGTTATACCGTTTCCCTTGGCTTAAACTGTTAACTCGATTTAATAGTGGAGTAACTTGTACGAGCTTGGGGTACACTGTCGATCTGACTACTATCGCCTCACGCACACGACGTGCTCTAAAGACACGCGACGGGTTTGCAATGTCGTTTATATACACGAGGGGTTGCGCAGAAAGGTTTACAACTGTTTCACATTGTATCGATTATCTTAAATTTTTTTGTCCCTACCGTTTCCTTCCTCTTCGCCTCCTTCACCTTCTCCGCCTTCCTCTTGGGCGTACGCGGCACTAAGAAGAAGACAGACTACCGCTAACAGGCGCAGAGGCATTAAAGAGTTGTTGGAGGAGACCATGTTTGATAGCAAAGCGTCGTAAACAGGCCCTCCTTGGCGCAAAATGCGTACAAGTACACAACGCCAGCAAGAGACCTTACAACGACCCAATGGCTACAGAAGACGAAAGAAAGTGGTCTGTCTGCACCTTTGAAACAAAATACGTGTACTCTAAAATTGTGAGCTGCATTCATATGTTGGGGTCAATTGTCTGTAAAGCGCGTATGTGAATAACGCGGTATTGTTCTCTGTTGCTTGTGACGCGCGCCAGATACAGGGATTCTCAGTGTAGGGGCTTTTAATACGTACATATTTTGTTATGTCAAGATTTCTGTTACGATGCAGATGTCATTCGAAAGAATGGTCTTCGTTGTCACGACAAACCCAATCAGCCCATGGATAAATCACGCCTTTTTTTCAACGAGAGACACTTAGAGCCACAGTTTTTCGTAGCTTCCCGCATTGCTGTTCACATTGTATAAACGAGGCAAACATCATGTCACAAATCAGGCGACGAAACAACATGGCTTTGTCATTGTGAAGTGCTTCGAAAATTCCTTGATAGCAAGGTCACGCAGCTGCTAAACATCTTTTTGCTTTTTGTACACTTAATATTCGGTTGGCCATTACTACAACCAGATTTGATAAAAGTAAAAGCTATATAATGTCTTAACTGGAACCATTAAATCTTCTACCTACATCTTTCTTGGCATTTTCAGACTGGTAGATTTGATGGATTTGCGTGATTTATTGATAACAGAAATTTTTTATGGCTTTCGGAAGCTCACACGGGCTTGCGTGACTGTCTGGCGTGCCACAACACACGTCACGCACCTTGACCCACATATGTTATTGTAAATAATGCAATGCAACACTGTCTGTCGATTGTAAGTATTTTTAAGTATTTATTACAGCATGTACAAATAATATCAGATCTTTTTGTTGACAAAGTATTGAATTAGTAAACGAAGTTTCCATCACCTTAAATAATTGAAAAAATTCGTTAGAAAATCTGGGAGATCACTGCGTCTTCGTCAACAGTTCTTTGAGTCTCAGTTGAGCGCAGTCGGCCGTTAGTCGAGCCTCGGGGTCTGGATCCCAGCATTCCTGCACTGTCTGACAAATCAGTTTCACGCCCTGTAGCGAGAGCAAAACAAAAAACTCTCCGTTGTTGTTATCATTTCAAAGTAGAAAATATACTGAGATAAATTTCTAGTTCTATATTATCCAGTATTTTGCCGTGATCAAGGATTGTGGGTGAGTTCATGCAACTTACAGAAGCAAAATTAAATATAAATTAAAGCGAACTAGCGTGTACAAAAAGGTTTGGGTTTATCTTTTTACCAGTGGAATGGCCACCATTTAGTTTGTGCGTTACGTATATTGATCTTCAATAAAGACAGTTTGCTATCTTTCGTTCTCACAAGGCAGGTTGATGCTGTCAACCTGTTCTTTACATTCAGTATTCCTTGCCTAACCTATACTTTTATTCCTGGTGAAAACCTTTAGAGCCAGACAGTAAGCTACTATCTTAAGCCTGGTTTTAACTAGCGACGCAAGCACAAGCGCAAGCACAAGTGCAAACACAATAATTCTTATTTCACCGTAAAAACGGTCTTGACACAGGCATGAGCGCAAGCACAAGCACAAGGAACAAAATTTTCTTTTTCTTGTGCCTGCGCTTATGCTTGCGTTTGCCCTGCAACAAGTGAAAATGAAACACCGCTCAGGCGCAACACAAACACAAGGATATTTACCACACGTGGTTATGTTTGGCCAGTGAAAACACTGTATCCAGATTACCTCGCGCCTAAACAATTCGGAATGTTCAGATGATTTTGCTTATGCTTAAGCTTGTGTTTGCGTCGAATTTCGTTTAACTTGGGTCATCCCTATTCCATTTGCTTACGCTTGAGCCTGCGTCCCTAGTGAAAACCAGGCTTTATAATTTCTCTTTTCAATCGCCTGGCATGTATAACTATGAATGGTTATCTTTTTTCAGTGCCATTGAAAAGCCGTGACCCACTTGGAAAGCATTGCAATGGACGGAATTATTCATTCCACAAATAACACAGACGGGTTGTGTGACTGTACAGTACCATTTTCACTGAAAGCATGAATACGTTAATAGTTACTGGCGTTTTTTTTTTGTTGTTGTTTTTTTTGTTTTTTTTTTTTTTCATCCTACAAGGTTCGTTCCCCGGGTAAAGTTACCTCATGCTCAGTTCCTGGCAGGTGAGGTCTACACTGCTTTAGTGCAACAACTTCAATCATATTGTTCAATGTCACATCAGTGCCAACCGTCTCTGCAAAAGGTAGGTGATACTCATCGAGACGCGCATCTGAAAACAAAACATTAATTCGCTCTTCTCGCTCAGAAGTCCTTTACATTTATTTATTTATTTATTTATTTATTTATTTATTTATTTATTTATTTATTTATTTATTTTCTTAAGTAACGAAAGTGTCGGGTAGAGATGTGCTCAAAGGAAGGGCCAGCTAAATGAACAGGGCCAATCTTTGTCTTTTCTCCATAAGCTCCGGTCTTATGGGCCACTCCTTGGCTCGTATGCAGACTTTACCTTTCTTTACCTTATTCGAACTGTGAATCCTCTCAATATTAAAATTTGCAATCAAGGGACCAAACAGTCCATCTCACAAAGGGTTTGTAAGAGTTTTTGCTTGTTATGTTTGCTAAGACACTGCAAAAGTTAGATGCGTTATACGTCTGAGACGCATCGTTCGTCTTCCAAGGGAAATACGGCTATTATTAACCTTTTTGCCTCACTGAGCAAGTGAGAGGGTGACAGTGCCGTATTTACCTGCAACCTCGCAACGTGAAATGATCTCCCAGAGCACCAAGGCCATTGAGTAGATATCCATTTGCTTAAAGGCGTCCGTGCTGCCCAGGTCCGCAGTTGCAAGCAGCTCCTCAGGAGACATGTATCTATATGTTCCCACCTGTATCTGTTGAGATCAGACGCCGAGTCAAGCCTGGTTCCTGGGGGGAGGGGGGGGGTGAAAAGAGCGGTTTTGCTACCTCTTAGGGTGTTCAGGTACACAGCGGGAGTCCTGTGGTATCTTTTAGGAGGTTGAACCGAAACAAATGACAGGAGATAATGTGTTGTTTTAGAATTGGTACCTCTTGAGGGTAAAAAAATCCAAGCCACGCCCACAAAACAGGATTATGGTGCCTTTTAGGAGCTCTTTTCAAAATTTCCGACGAACACCCCCTTCCTTTTTACATGGGAGACCCCCCTCCTTGGACCTGGTTCTGTCACACTTGCAACATAACGACATAAGAAGGACGTTTTGTAGTTATGTTTGCGGAGTGAACATGCTGACATAATGACATATTAGCAACATAACAGCATGAACATAACGACATGCACATACAAA